TTTTTTGAGACAGGGCCTCCAACCATTCCCCAGCCTGGATTGCAGTAATGCAATCATGGCTCACTGCAGCCTCAACTTCCTGGGCTCAAGTGATCCACCTCAGCCTCCAGAGTAGCTGGGACTACAGGCATCTCAAGTGATCCTCCCACCTTGGCCTCCCAAAGTGCTGGGATCACAGGCGTGAGCCACCACACCCGGCCAGGGTTTCTTTTAGGCCCAGCACCTCACACTTTGACTTTTTTAGGCCTTGTCACATGTGCAAAACTCATCCCCAGACTCTGGTCTGGAGGATCAGAAAAGAGTCCTTAAAAGCCTTTATGAGAGGGCAGACCTCCTGCTCCTGGTCATCTGCCACTCTCTGACACCCCTAGGTCTTGGAGATGCTGGACAGTCTCAATGGGGAATGGGTTGTCTTCCAACAAACTCTGCTGGACAGTGAGCAAATGCTGAAGAAATACAAGGAGAAATTCAAGACAGGCCTGATCCACTCGGCAGATGACTTCAAGAAGAAAGCACATACGCTTCTGGAAGATTTCGAATTCAAAGGTACTACTTGATACACCTCTCCCGCTTCTTTAGCCTTTGTTTAGAGACCCCGCCTTCCAAGCCCAGGTCCTGGGAAGGAAGAACAGGGAGGGGAGGCGGAGGGTGGGTGCTGGGGCGAGGAAGAGCCACCGCTCAGGAGGAAAGGAGGAGGACACTCAGTGGCTCTCGTTTTGGGCACAGGTGCAGCTCATAGCATTTCTACTTTTCTTTTTTCTTTCTGTTTTTTTTTTTTTTTTTTTGAGATGGAATCTCTCTCTGTTGCCAGTCTGGAGTGCAGTGGCTTGATCTCAGCTCACTGCAACCTCCACCTCCTGGGTTTAAGCGATTCTTCTGCCTCAGCCTCCCAAGTAGCTGGGACTACAGGCGCGTGCGCCACCATGCCCGGCTAATTTTTGTATTTTTAGTAGAGACGGGGTTTCACCGTGTTGGCCAGGATAGTCTCGATCTCTTGACCTTGTGATCCGCCTGCCTCAGCCTCCCAAAGTGCTGGAATTACAGGCGTGAGCCACCGCGACCAGCCCCCATTTCTACTTTTTTTTTTTTTTTTGAGACGGAGTCTCCCTCTGTCTCCCAGGCTGGAGTGCGGTGGCGTGATCTCCACTCACTGCAAGCTCCGCCTCCCGGGTTCACGCCGTTCTCCTGCCTCAGCCTCCCGTGTGGCTGGGACTACAGGCGCCCGCCACCACGCCCGGCTAATTTTTGTATTTTTAGTAGAGACGGGGTTTCACTGTGTTAGTCAGGATGGTCTCGATCTCCTGACCTCGTGATCCGCCCATCTCAGCCTCCCAAAGTGTTGGGATTACAGGTGTGAGCCACGGCGCCCGGCCCATTTCTACTTTTCTTATCCTGACTTTCGTATTCCATCTGTTCCTGACTCTCAAGCCGCATTTAGGAGTTTTTGCTAAGATTAACCATCATTCTTTCAATGCGTTCCCTCTTGTTCTCCTTCTCTTCCCTCTCTCACATGAGGAGAGAGGTGAGATTTGCCCACAAAGAGATAGGAGAGCCGTGGCTGTCCTTGCCAGACGTGAGCGGGAAGCTGAGCTTCATCCTGAATCCTCCACAGGCCCTTTCACCAGCAACGTGGGACACATATCTGCCCTAGACCAGATCGCACAAGTGCGGGCCATGCTGATGGCCATGCGGGAAGAGGAAAACAGTCTCCGAGCCAACCTGGGCCTCTTCAAGATCGAGCAGCCACCCTCTAAGGACCTTCAGAACCTGGAGAAGGTAGTGTGCTGAGCGAGGACCCTGTGGTCACTGTAGATAAGGGGCAGGGACAGGATAATGGGTCCTTAGCACCCACAAAGGCAGTGGGACGGGAGAGGAGCTCACGAGGAGCTTTTGTTTCAGTTGAGGTAAAATTCACACAACAAAATTAATTATTATTATTTTTTTGAGACAGTCTTGCTGTCTTGCCCAGGCTGGAGTGTGGTTGCGCAATCTCGGCTCACTGTAACCTCTGTCGCCCGGGTTCAAACGATTCTCATGCCTCAGACTCCCGAGTAGCTGGGATTACAAGCATCCACCACTATGCCTGGCTACTTTTTGTATTTTTAGTATAGAGATGGGGTTTTACCATGTTGTCCAGGCTGGTCTCGAACTCCTGACCTCAGGTGATCCACCTGCCTCAACCTCCCAAAGTGCTGGGATTACAGGTGTGAGCCACGGCGCCCCACCAAAATTAACCATTTTGAAGTGAACAATTAGTGACATTTAGTGATTCACACCACCTCCATCTAATTCCCAAACATTTGTATTACCCTAAAGGAAACTCTGCCCCTTAGCAGTCACGTCCATCCCCCGTCCCCCGCCCTAGTCAGTTATGAGCCTATTTTCCAGGTGTGTGATTTGCCTATTCTGGACACTTCATACAAATGGAACCATATCATACGTGGCCTTTTTAATCTGACTTCTTTCGTTTAGCATAATGTCTTCAAGGTTCATCCATGGTGTAGCATGGATCAGTACTTTTTAAAATGGCTGAATATTCATATTTGAATATTGTATGAATTTACCACATTTTGTTTACCATTCACCAGTTGATGGACATTTGGGTTATTTCCACCTTTTCGCTAGAAGGAGTAGTGCTGCCATGAACACGCGTGGACTTGTATTTGTCTGAACACCTGTTCCCTATTCTTGTGGGTGTGAGCCTAGGGGTGGAATTGCTAGATCATATGGAAACTCTATGTTTAACTTTTTGAGGAGCTGCCAAGCCATTTTCCACAGCAGCTGCACCATTTCACATTCCCACTAGTAGTGTACAAGGCTTCCTATTTCTCCATATCTCCATGCCAACACTTATTTACCTTTTTTTTTTTTTTTTTTTGGTTCTAGCCATCCTAGCGGGTGTGAAGTGGTATCTCACTGAGCTTTTGATTTGCATTTTCCTAATGACTCATGACATTGAGGATCTTTTCCTGTGCTTGTTCCTTGATAAGCTCTTAAGGCGACAGAGTGGAGAAATTTATGTGGACGGAGGAGGCCGCTGTATTATCTAGAGGGAAAGCGTCACAGAGCGAGAGCAGCGAAGGGCCTGGGCGTCCGTCGAGGAGGAGGAGGGCAGGTGCCACTTCATGCAATGCGCCTTTCTGCTCTGTAGGAGCTCGATGCCCTCCAGCAAGTCTGGGAGATCACACGAGACTGGGAGGAGAACTGGAATGAGTGGAAGACTGGCCGGTTCCTGACCCTGCAGACCGAAAGCATGGAGACCATGGCCCATGGGCTGTTTCGTCGCCTCACAAGATTAGCCAAAGAGTATAAGGTGGGGAGAAACAGGGCGGGGAGGCGGAAGAGAGGCTAGTGGAGGATCAGGATCTATTCCCAGGGAGGTCGTCGGGTCTTCTGATGCCCCCAACTTTTGCTCAGGACCGAAACTGGGAAATTATTGAAACCACTCGCTCAAAAATAGAGCAGTTCAAGAGGACCATGCCTCTCATCTCAGACCTACGGAACCCTGCCCTTAGAGAGAGGTGAGGCTGCCCCTCTGCTCCCGGGTGTCCACTCTGCCCCGCTGGCCTGCGCCACCACCTGCTCCCTCCCATTCTCCTCTCCACGGTGTTCACAGCTCTCTCTTCCCCTTTGTCCACAAATGTATGTCTTTTTCTCTTTCCTCTTTTTAACAAACATTTAATTTTGATGGACGCATGAAAATTGCATACACTTATGGTGTACAGCATAATGTTTTGAAATATGTACACATTGCGGAATGGCTAAATTGAGCTAATTATCATATGCATTACCTCACATACCTATTTTTTGTAGTGAGAATACTGAAAAGCTACTCTCAGTGGTTTTCAAGTGTACAATAGATTGTTATCAACCATTGTTGCCACAGTGTACAGGAGATCATCCCTCTTGTTTAACTGAAATTTTGTGTCCTTTGACCAACACCTCCCCAACTCTCCACCTACCACCCCCAGTCCCTGATAACCAGCATTCGACTCCGCTTCAGTGAGTTCAACCTGTTCGGACTTCACATATGACATATGAGTGCGAGCGTGCGGTGTTTGTCTTTCTTTGCCTGGCTTATTTCGCTTAGCAAAATGTCCTCCAGGTTCTTCCATGTTGTTGCAAATGACAGGATTTTCTTCTTTCCTGTGGCTGAAGATATTTCACTGTATATATGCACCACATTTTCGTCCTCCATTCATCGCTTGATGGACACTCAGGGTGATTCCACATCGTGGCTATTGCGAATAGTGCTCAGTGAACATGTGGCACAGACACCAAGCCTGCCACTGTCCTCTGCTTCTTGCACTGTCTCAGGTCATCCAGCCTTGCTGACTCTTGTTCTCTGCCCCCTGCCCTGGGGCCTCCCGCTGTCTGAGAGGGAGTTGTCTATCATGACTAAGCCTTATGTCTTTTTTTTTTTTTCTTTTTCTGGGAGGTAGACAGAGTCTCACTCTGTTGCCCAGGCTGGGGTGCAGTGCTGTGATCTCGGCTCACTATAACCTTTGCCTCGCGGGTTCAAGGAATTCTTGTGCCTCAGCCTCCCGAGTAACTGGGATTACAAGCACCCGCCACCATGCTCGGCTAATTTTTGTATTTTTAGTAGAGATGGAGTTTTGCCATGTTGGCCAAGATGGTCTTGAACTCCTGGCCTCAAGTGGTCCGCCCGCCTTGGCCTCCCAAAGTGCTTGGATTACAGGCGTGAGCCACCTGGCCCGGCCCGCCTTATGTCTTTTGTTATACAAAAGATTTTATTTTGAGGTAGCCAAAAGTATAACTTTCTTTCTGTATGGTTTTTGCCTTTGTGCCTTGTTTAGGAAGACCTTTCCTATCCCAAAGTTACAAATACATCCTCTTCATTCTGTCTTCTAATGCTTTGTGTTTCTCAGTTTTAACTCCTTTAATCCGTCGGAATTTATCATATGGTAGAGGATGCATCTCGAGCCATTGGGGATAGATTTATAAAAATGAAGTAATTTTTATAAATGGTGTTTTAATAATGATCTATCCATTTAAGAGAAAATAATTTTGCTTCTTCGTCTTTCTTCCAGTATAATGTTTTTGGCAATGCCGAAACTATTAAGTGTTATACGGTTATGTATAACCTAACCACTTTATTTGCTTACATTACTTAACCTCTCTAAGCCTCAGTTTTCTTATCCGTAAATGGAATAATAATAATTCCTAATTTATAGAGTAGCCATGAGAATGATATGAGATGTTTCATGTAAGGCCTTTACTCAGTGCAGATCTAGAGTAAACCTGCAGTGATTCGTTGTATGTTTTGTGGGCGCAGCTGCCTCAACTCCCTCTCCAGATAATCCACTCCTGGAGGGTCTCACCTCAATCTTCGTATTCCCCATGGTGCCTATGATTGCATCTTCAAACCTGTTTAGCAAAATGTGTTGAATCATGAATTAATAACTATGCAGAATCACAGTGTCCCAGTGGGAGACAGCACTGGGAGTGATGGTAACGCTCCTGACCTCACACCCTCCTGTTCCTGGCTGCAGGCACTGGGACCAGGTCAGGGATGAGATCCAGCGGGAGTTTGATCAGGAATCTGAAAGCTTCACCTTGGAGCAGATTGTGGAGCTTGGGATGGATCAGCACGTGGAGAAAATTGGGGAGATCTCTGCTTCAGCAACTAAAGAGCTGGCTATAGAAGTGGTACGACCCTCCTCTCCCATGCTCCCATACCTCCTGCACCTCCTGGAGCACAGGCTTCCAGCTGTTCATCATCTGATGATGCCTCTCAGCTCCTGTTCCCTTTAGGGAAGAGATACCTGACTGCTGTGTCCCCCAATTTCTCTCCACAGGCTTTACAAAACATTGCCAAGACCTGGGATGTGACTCAGCTCGACATAGTACCCTACAAGGATAAAGGCCATCATCGGCTCAGGTCGGGGGAGCTGGGGCTCTAGGAGAAAGGGGGACTGTGTGACCCGGGCTGCAGCTTGGGGCCAAGGTTGGGCAGGTGGGGATGGACTATGATTTTGACCCCTTGTGTCCCAGAGGTACAGAAGAAATATTCCAGGCGCTGGAAGATAACCAGGTAGCTCTGTCTACCATGAAGGCATCTCGCTTTGTCAAGGCCTTTGAGAAGGATGTGGATCACTGGGAACGCTGCCTCTCCCTCATCTTGGAGGTTATTGAGATGATTCTCACAGTGCAGCGTCAGTGGATGTACTTAGAGGTCAGGACTCAGCGCCCAAGCTTTTGCTGCTTCCTGCTTTTCCTCCTTCACTTGCTTAAGACCTAGATTTTGCCCTGTTATCAGCCTCATTCTCCTACCTTTAAAGTCACTCTTCATCTAGGACCCAGCTGTCTGATTCTTAGTTATTACCTCTCACCTTAGATTCCTTCCCTAACAAGTTTTTGTTCTTCTTCCTAGATTTTTCTTCCATTTTTCTTCTTAGACCCAAGTACCTGGCCCCCGACTTCCAACTTTCCTTGTAGAACTTGGGCATCTTGGCCTTTGACTTCTGGCACTCTGTATCTTCTACTCAACTGTCACCCACGATCTGGGAACAGGGAGCAGAGGGTGGAGAGTGCGTAAGAAGTGGCCTCTCACTCCAATTTTTGGCCCCCTCAGAATATCTTCCTAGGAGAAGACATCCGCAAGCAGCTGCCCAATGAATCGGCCTTATTTGACCAGGTCAACAGTAACTGGAAAGCCATCATGGACAGGATGAACAAGGACAACAATGCTCTCCGGAGCACCCATTACCCAGGTCAGAGCTTCAGGGCTGCTGCCCTGACACAGCTTCGGCAGGCACTCTGCTTGGTCATGGTTGCATGTTTCATTGATTAAAAAGACTGATGCCCCCAGCTCTCATAACATGTCCCATCTCCATCACCTCTTCTAAGCATTAGATCACAATTCCATAAATTAAACTCAACAAGTATTTGCGTGGAGTATAATAATGTAGTGGTTAAGAGCATGGAATATGGAATCAGTCAGATTAGTTTATTTATTTATTAAAAAAAATTTGTTCTTGAGACGGAGGTTTGTGCGTCGCCCAGGCTGGAGTGCAGTGGTGCGATCTGGGCTCACTGCACTGTCCACCTCCTGGGTTCAAACGATTCTCCTGCTTCAGCCTCCCAAGTAGCTGGGGAATACAAGCATGTGCCACCACCTCTGGCTAATTTTTTAAATTTTTAGTAGAGCTGGGCTTTCACCAAGTTGGCCAGGCTGGTCTCGAACTCCTGACCTCGGGTGATCCACCTCCCTCAGTCTCCCAAAGTGCTGGGATTACAGGTGTGAGCCACTGAGCCCAGCCTACATTGACTTTAGTTTAGCAGATTAGCCTTCAGCCATGGGATGGGGTAGGGTATGGGGAAGAAAGGGATGAACACATGGTAAGATGAACACATAGTGAGGGCTGGTTGACTGGGGGAGACTGGGGTAGAGAATCAGGGAGTCAGGTTTGACAACGGGCATCTAGAATGGGCATCCTGTGGCGAAGAATTCTGGCGGGGGTACAGAGGACCTCTTCATTTTACCTAGGGCTAGTCTTAACAGTGCTTCATTTTTCCAAGAGCCTTCAGTATATACATCAATAAAAATAACTTTAATTATTCTGATAAAAGGTAAACATGAAAAGTTATGATATGCAAAGTTGAATGACAATGACTGATATTATTTGAAATAATTGATTGAATTATATTTCAGAACAATTTATAAACAAAGCCAAAAAAACAGTAATCCCTTTGTTGAATGCACAGAATAAATCCATCTTGTCCACGGCTACTGAGTCTGCCTGTGATCTCTGGGGGTCACTCAGGTTTGCACTCACAGGACCCAACAGCCTGTAGACCCTGTGTTTGAAGGCATGAGGGTTACCTCTGAGTCACACTCACTAGTGTCCCTCCTTTCTTCAGAAAGCTAGAAACTAGGAAGACAAGGGGAAAATCAATCAAGACCTGAGGTATGGGGCTGTAGGCTGGGAGGAAACTAACATTATTGAGAAGCTACCGATGTGAATACATTTCAATTAGTACTCGCATTGGTTTTTTTTCTTTTGTTTTTTGAGACGGAGTTTCGCTCTTGTTGCCCAGGCTGAAGTGCAATGGCGCAATCTCAGCTCACCACAACCTCCACCTCCCAGTTCAAGCAATTCTCCTGCCTCAGTCTCCCAAGTAGCTGGGATTATAGGCGTGTGCCACCACACCCACCTACATTTGTATTTTTTTTTAGTAGAGACGGGGTTTCACCATGTTGGTCAGGCTGGTCTCGCTCTCTGACCTCAAGTGATCCACCCGCCTCGGCCTCCCAGACTGCTGGGATTACAGGCGTGAACCACCACCGCTGGCCTCACGTTGATTTTTGAGATGGATTTTATTGCCATTTTATACACAAAGGGGTCAAAACTCGATGAGGTGAATTGACATGCCAGTAAGTGAAAGAACTACTGTTTGATTGGGAGTCTTCTGCCGCCTGTTCTGGAACTCTTTTTGCTGTGACATGAGGGACACTGGCAACCCCAGTTGTAGATTTCTTTCACTGTGTGCACATGACATGTATCTAAAGTGATTTAGCTTGCTAGATTGTGTACATAGAGGGAAATCTCTACCTTTCAGAAGCTCTTGGGTGGGCCAGTGGATCCCTAAGTTCTTCCCCCAGCCCTTATTTTCTTTTTTTGCTTTTGGGAAATGAAGGAAGATGGACCCCCAAGTTCTTCGGTGGGTGTGTTATACAGTGTCCCCTGCTACCCACTGGGGATATGTTCCAAGACCCCCCAGTAGATGCCTGACACCTCAGATAGTCCTGAACCCAATTGCCATCAATCAGAACATGTTTCTGTTTGTGTCTGCTTCCCATAAATTTAATGCCCTTTCCATCTTAACTAAGCATTTGTTATGCACCGAGGCTGTAACTTTTGCAGTTTGAGGTGTGACAGCAAAACTATCATGAATTTCTTTTTCCTTTGTCACAGTTTCACAGATAGAAGATTCAGATTCTTTTTTTTTTTTTTTTTTTTGGAGACGGAGTCTTGCTCTGTCGCCTAGGTTGGAGTACGGTGGTGCGATCTCAGCTCACTGCAACTTCCACCTTCTGGGTTTCAGTGATTCTCCTGCCTCAGCCTCCCGAGTAGCTTGGCTTACAGGCACCTGCCACCACGCCCGGCTAATTTTTGTATTTTTAGTAGAGATGGGATTTCACCATGATGGCCAGGCTGGTCTTGAACTCCTGATCTCAAGTGATCCGCCCACCTCGGCCTCCCAAAGTATTGGGATGACAGGTGTTAGCCACTGCACCCGGCCAGAAGATTCATTCTTACTGTAGATCTCAGCAACCTCAGTTGAGAACTTTCACCTTTTCACTTAAAGGAAGGAAACTCTTTATGGAAGCACTTTACGGCTTCTCTTTGGCGTATCTGAATTGGCAGCATCACTACTCTTGCACTTTTGCTTACATTATTAAGTGAAATAAGAGTCACTTGAACACAGGCACTGCTGTGATGTCACAACAGTCGATCTGATAACCGAGAGGGCTACTAAATGACTCACGGGCAGGGAACCTCTTCAGCGTGGAGACGCTGGACAGAGGGATCATTCACATCCTGGGGGACAGAGCAGGATGGTGAGAGATTGCATCACACTACTCAGAACAGTGTGCAATTAAAACCTAGGAATTGTTTATTTCTGGAATTTTCCATTCAGTATTTTCGGACCACAGTTGTCTGCAGGTAGTTGCAACTATGGAAAGTGAAACTGTGGATAAGGGGAAGTTACTGTATTAATGAAGTCATGGCCGGGCGCGGTGGCTCAAGCTTGTAATCTCAGCACTTTAGGAGGCCGAGACGGGCGGATCACGAGGTCAGGAGATCGAGACCGTCCTGGCTAACCCGGTGAAACCCCGTCTCTACTAAAAATACGAAAAACTAGCCGGGCGAGGTGGTGGGCACCTGTAGTCCCAGCTACACAGGAGGCTGAGGCAGGAGAATGGTGTGAACCCGGGAGGTGGAGCTTGCAGTAAGCTGAGATCCGGCCCCTGCACTCCAGCCTGGGCGACAGAGCGAGACTCCATCTCAAAAAAAAAAAAAAAAAAAATTAATGAAGTCATATATGATGTATCATTAATGCATAAACAGTAACCTGTACAATACTGCATAATGAATAGTGAGTCATGAATTAATGGAGAGAATGGGATGAGCATGATAGAGGGTCTGGGGATACTTCTCTGCGTCCAGAAACCCTCACGGCAGTCTGTGCCCCACTGCTCAAGAGCTGGCAAAGAACACAGAGTTGGGGCATCCAGATCCCCCCAGGGCAGTGGAAAGAAGGCCATCAAATGGCATTCATCGCGCTTCTTCCCAGGCCTCCTGGACACATTGACAGAAATGAACACAATCCTGGAAGATATTCAGAAGTCTCTGGATATGTATTTAGAGACCAAGCGACATATTTTCCCCCGCTTCTACTTCTTGTCCAATGATGACCTACTGGAGATTCTGGGCCAGTCCCGAAACCCAGAGGCTGTGCAGCCGCACCTCAAAAAATGCTTTGACAACATCAAGTTGCTGAGAATCCAGAAGGTCGGTAGAAGTGGCCACAATGAGATGGTGGGTGGGTATGAAAGGCTTTGGAAGGGACCCTGCCCTTCCAACAGGAGGGCCATGTTAATTAATGATTCTCGATTTTCAGGGGATAGAACTTCTTCGAATTGGTAATATTTACAGGAGGGGAGAGGAGCAGTAATTACCCTCAAAAGGCCCCAGTACTTCTAGGTGGATACCAAGTGTGGGCTGGCCAGGCTCTGAGCAGCTTCTGTTTTCTGCAGGTTGGAGGGTCCAGCAGCAAATGGGAAGCTGTGGGAATGTTCTCGGGCGACGGCGAGTACATTGATTTCCTCCACTCAGTACTTTTAGAAGGGCCTGTGGAGGTGAGTTGTGGTGAGGGTCTGAGGACCTAGCTGATTCTTCTTCCTACAGACAGTTCACCTGGGCCGGGCACAGTGGCTCACACCTGTAATCCCAGCACTCTGGGAGGCCGAGGCGGGCGGATCCCCTGAGGTCGGGAGTTCCAGACCAGCCTGACCAACATGGAGAAACCCCATCCCTACTAAAAGTACAAAATTAGCTGGGAGTGGTGGCGCATGTCTGTAATCCTACCTATTCAGGAGGCCGAGGCAGGAGAATCGCTTGAACCTGGGAAGTGGAGGTTGCAGTGAGCTGAGATCGCACCATTGCACTCCAGCCTGGGCAATAAGAGTGAAACTCCATCTCAAAAAAAGAAAAAGAAAAAAAAAGAAAGTTCACCTGGCTCCATGAGGAGAGAAGATCTCTGTAAATGGTTGATAGTCACTCTTTCCCCTCCCACCTGCCATTCCTGACAATGATCATCTCTGCTCTGAACTGAAATTTCCTTCTGAAAGTCAGACCATCTGCCTCAGAGCCTCCATTTCTTTCAGGGACCCAAGCCAGCCGTTGCCCATTCCTGCTTTTCTCTGGGTACAAAGCCCCGGAGTGCCGCTTCCTAAATGCCTTCCCTGTGGAGGACCTTGGCCGTGCCCCTGAGGCTGAGCTACCCTATTCTCCCACCTCCCCCTAGTCCTGGCTCGGCGATGTGGAACGGACCATGAGGGTGACCCTGCGGGACCTTCTCCGGAACTGCCGCCTGGCCCTCAAGAAGTTCCTCAACAAGAGGGACAAATGGGTGAAGGAGTGGGCTGGCCAGGTGAGTTGGGGTCAACAGAAATGAGGGAACAAGGGGCCAGGCATGGTGGCTCACACCTGTAATCCCAGCACTTTGGGAGGCCAAGGTGTGCAGATCACTTGAGGTCAGGAGTTCAAGACCAGCCTGGCCAACGTGGTGAAACCCTGTCTCTACTAAAAACACAAAAAATTATCTGGTGTGGTGATGCACACCTGTAATCCCAGTTTCTCAGGAGGCTGAGGCAAAATAGCTTGAACCCAGGAGGCGAAGTTTGCAATGAGCCAAGACCGTGCCACTGCACTCCAGCCTAGGTGACAAAGTAAGACTCCATCTAAAAAAATTTAAAAAATGTAAAAAAAAAGAAAGAAAGAAAAAAAAGAGAAAGAAATGAAGAAATGAGGGAACAAGAAGATAGAGTTAAAAAGATGGAGTTAAAAGGAGGTGGCCAGTGGAAAGACAGAATCTTGAGTCTCACACAATGTGGTTTCTTACCCCCCTTTCTGGGCTGTGGCTCTGGTCACTCCAAGCTGGACCCTTAGCTCCTGACCTGAGGCCCATGTCCCATCTTTCAGAGCAGATTGGGTGCAGTTGGGAGAGGCACACAGTTCTTGAAATAACTGGGACTTGGGAGCTGGGCTGTGTGGATGGCCGAGGACAGGGCTTTGGGACATGGCTTCTGCACATCCTCAGATGGTGATCACTGCCAGTCAGATCCAGTGGACGGCTGACGTCACCAAGTGCCTGCTGACAGCGAAGGAGCGGGGAGACAAGAAAATCCTCAAGGTCATGAAGAAGAAGCAGGTGGGAGGCCGAGCACAGTGGCTGATGCTTGTAATCCCAGCACTTTGGGAGGCAGAGGTGGGAGGAGCCCACTCACTTGAGCCCAGGAGTTCGAGACCAGCCTGGGCAATATGGTGAAACCCCTTCTTTACCAAAAAATACAAAAATTAGCTGGTGGCACACCCAGGAGGTTGAGGCTGCAGTGAGCTGAGATCGTACCACTGCACTCCAGCCTGGGCAACAGAGCAAGACTCTGTCTCAAAAAAAAAAAAGGCTGGGCACAGTGGCTCACACGTGTAATCCCAGCACTTTGGGAGGCCGAGGCAGGCAGATCACGAGGTTAGGAGAT